GGTTTTTTACCTATAGATTTCCTTACAGATTCTGATAGAGCTCAACGCGCTGATTCCGAATATGTATAATCTCAATGCGATCAGAATGAAGTAAAGAAAGAATTTTATCGTAAAAAGGTGTTGAAAAATCTTAAATTGCCACGATAACGACTAACACTGAAAATGACGGTATTAGAATCGGCAACACTTGGACAGATATCCGGCCCAAGCAGACAGTCTTCGGCCCACTATCTTCTTCGACTCTGCGAAACACGGCTCAGCAGACTAAAAATCCTGGTTACGCCATTGATGTCAACGTTAGCGATTAGGAGGTGGTACGGCGTGGCATACAGTTGGATACAGTTACTCAAAAAATTTTGACTTATTCAGATTTTTTCATGAAATTTAAGTAGAGAAACTGCCTTTTCTGATCTGCTTAAGAGATTTTTTCCAGCTTCTGAGTGACTCAGTTACCCAGAAAACATTTTAATCAAAAAATGGGTTACTTAATGAAAAACTTTAGTTACTCAGCAGGCTTGCCACCCCCTACCAAAACTACTATCCAAAACACTGATTGATGTGTACTGTTCTTCAATAAAACTTGATCAGTATATGTAATTTTGTTTTTCTTGTATGTTCTTTTTAGTATTTCAATGGAAGAGAATTTATAAATATAAATATAAATATACGCTGATAGAAGAATTGACGATGCGTGTAGATCCATGGCTCAGCGGATCCAGGAGTCTAAGAAAGTTTGTTTCTTTGAACGCGGGTTCGAATTTGAGGATGTCTGATTAAGCCTCCCCTTCCCCCTCCCCTCCCTGTTTGATAATTAAGCTGGATTTCGAAAAAGTTTTATTTTCCGATGAAAAAGTAAATCAAAAACTACTTTTAGTAACACCAGGAAATAGACCAAACATTTCTGATTTGAATGAGATATTTCCCAGCTCAGAATGATCGTCTGATCAAGAGTTCTGAGAGTTTTGCTGGATGCTCTAAAACATGCATAAGATACTGGCGCCACCATATCTCGAAAGCGACTTTCATCGTAACACCATTTCGTAGCTAGAAGATTTCTCAGTCATGAAACGTCGCACAGAGCTCTAGAAGGTCTTAAATTGAAGCTGACGCATGTGGCTAGAGGTTAATAGAGCCCAATGTTTGATATTCGGTTTAGATTTGTGATTAGCAAAACATCTGTACCCAAGTTAATGAGACTTTTCGACTTTTGGACTTTTGATGCTGACCATTACTTTGAAAAGAAAAATATAAAAAATCCGGCTCTATTTGTCTCTAGCCACATGTGTTTTCGTCGTTTAAAAGCAGCCCGAGCTCTCCACAACGTTTCGTTACTGAGAAATCTTCGAGCTACGAATAGCCTCATTTTGGTGACTGTTGTGGCGACATCTCACAAATGATAAATCGAAGAAGGAGAATTAAAGCGGAAAAAGAGAAGAGAAGACTTGTCAAATATTTGGAAAGTGTTTTTATTGTAGTTTTTTTGGGTACTAAGAGAAATACGGTAGATGAAGTAAAGCAAAAATTGTGAAAAAAGAATGGAAATGGTATGAACGTTGTGTTTGATTATATGCTTGGTTAAATAATAAGACGGTTTTTGGTGGTATTTTGCTTTTGCTTTAATAGAAAAATATATGTTTCTAAAAAAACGTGACGATGTATGTTGAATACAAAAAAATGGAGGGTGTATACACGAGAATTTATACATGTTTCGAATTCTTCCTCAGTAAATGCTCGTGTTAAAGAATGATGGTTCATAGTTGAAAAAGTGGCTGTTTATATAGCATTTGATTCATGCAGACAGAAAAATAAGAGAGGAGAAAAATGTTTTTATTTTGCTGTAACCGAGATAGTACGCTCCGCTCCATTCATTTGATGTTAATTCTAATTCGTTCAATTTTTGTTTTAGCTTATTTTTAATTTTTAAACGATTTTTATTATCGAACAATTTTGCCATTACTAATTTCAACTTTAACAAGTCATCGATCATATAATAGATAGAATTCCACCTTGTTCTAACGTCTAATTGTAATGAACATTTTTTTCTCAGTTTGTGTTTTTCGGCGTCAAAATATGATGACAAAATAGATGATTTTTTAATAAATTTAATTAATACATGACATTTGATAAAGCATTCAGCATAATCTTTTGATCCTCGTCTTCACATTCGTTTAATAAGTCTTGAGACCAATTATCGTCTATTTCTTCTTCATCAATCGCATCTAAACCAATATTTTTATCTTCAATGTCCGATTGTTCATCATCGATTGTCTCCTGGTTTAGGGTTTTATTGTTAATAAAAGCCATGTTAGATTTGCATGAGTTCAAAATTACTCAGACTTTTGCTAATGATCAGTAGAAAATAGAAGGAAATACTATTAATTACCATTCAGATAGAAGAAATAAGCAGCATAAGTCTCTGCAGATACAGAATGTATAAAATCTATATATGACTCGACAAAATCTGAGCTGTTAAATTGATTTTCCGGTTGACGCACACTGATCAAGTTTTATTGAAGAACAGTACATTAATCAGTGTTTTGGATAGTAGTTTTGGTAGGGGGTGGCAAGCCTGCTGAGTAACTAAAGTTTTTCATTAAGTAACCCATTTTTTGATTAAAATGTTTTCTGGGT